GAGATGGACTTGTTCGCACGTGGCTGAATTGCGACATCGTTCTCGGAGATGTCGTGCTCTGCTCAATGCCGCGGATCCAAGGGGGCCATAATCTGGAATCCTTTCCTTTCCTTTTCTTTTTTTTTGGAACCTTTTTTTTTGCCTTTTCTTTTTGCCCCTTTTCTTTTTTTTTTTTGGGCGCGGGGCGGGGGGAGAAAATTTTTGTTTCGTGAAGAGATGGAGTTTTGCGCAAGTGACGGAATTGGGAGAGTGTCGTCGGAGATGTGGTGGTGCTGCTCAATGCCGGGTAGGGGGGCGCAATCTCAAAACCATTCTTTTTTCTTTTTTCTTTTTTTTCGCCGTATTTTTTTTTTTTTTTTGCCCATTTTTTGTTTTGTGAAGAGATGAAGTTTTATGCGCAAGTGGCGATTTTTTTTTTTTTTTTTTTTTTTGAACTGATCAGAACAGATAGTACACTTGATCTTAGCCGTGCTCTGCTCAATGCCGGGTAGAGGGGGGAAAGAATCTGAAAAATTAAATTAATAATTTTGTGGGGGAGAAAATAACTTAATAGTATTACTCTTATCAAGTCTTTTGGAAGGAATGCAGAATTACAGCAGACCTTAAAAAAAAATGCAAGCGTGAGCTTTCTTTGAAAAACAGAAAAAACGAAAAATAAAATAAAATGTAAACGGTAAAGGCAAGCCATAGCAAACGATAAACCCCAAAGCAAACACTCAACCATAACGAGCGCAAATTAAGGCTGTCACGAAAGCAAAACAACAACAACAAAAAAAAAAAAAACAGAATTATTATTTAAATTTTAAAAATTATACGATATCAAATTCCCGCCATTACTCGTTGAAGCCTTTTCCGCAAAAAAAAAAAAAAAAACAATAAATTATAATGAATGCGTAGCCCAGTTGGTACACACCCATTCCCATTAACTGTTGACGTACACAGACCCGGGGCCCAGTTGGTACACCCATTCCAGGTGCGACCAGTTGATCCGAACGGAATCGTTTCTAAATTATCTGAACTTGGTCAGTCCACAGATGCTATCTCAAGCCCGTCGTCTTTTTTTTTTTTTTTTTTTTTTGACCCGTCGCCCGTTTTAAAAAGGAAGAAAAATAATAATAAAGGGAGGAGGAGGAGGAGGAGGAGAAGAAGGAGAATAGTGAAAACAGCTATGGCCATAGACTGCTTCTCGCACATGATTCAACAGATAAACATTTTACTCTTTTTTTTTTTTTTTTTTTCCCCGTCGCCTTTTCCGGAAAGGAAGAACAAAAATAAAAATGAGAGGAGGAAAGAGAACAAAGACGAGGAATAAGAAGAGGAAAAAGACGAGGAATAAGAAGAGGAAAAAGACGAGGAATAAGAAGAGGAAAAAGACGAAGAAGACGAAGAAGAGGAAGAAGGAAAAAGACGAGTCACACGTTTAATGAAAATATAGAATGTGCCTATTGGAGTGAGTGTATGAACATGTTTTGTTTTGTTTTTTACAAAACTCACATTTTGAGGAGCCTGCATAAGGTACATTTCCATTCCTTCTTTTCTTCTTTTCTTCTTGTCTTTTTTTCTTTTTTTTCCCCGAAGAAGGAAAAAGACGAGTCACACGTTTAATGAAAATATAGAATTTGCCTATTGGAGCGAGTGTATGAACATGTTTTTTATTTTTTTTTTACAAAACTCACATTTTGAGGAGCCTGCATAAGGTACATTTCCATTTCTTCTTTTCCTCTTTTCTTCTTGTCTTCTTTTCTTTTTTTTCCTTTTTCTTTTTTTTCTTTTTTTCCCCGAGATCCCTTCTTTTTTTCCCCAAGGAGGAAAAAGACGAGTCACACGTTTAATGACAATATAGAATGTGCCTATTGTAGAGTGTATGAACATGTTTTTTTTTTTTTTTTACAAAACTCACATTTTGAGGAGCCTGCATAAGGTACATTTCCTTTTCTTCTTTTCCTCTTTTCTTCTTGTCTTTTTTTCTTTTTTTTCCTTTTTTTTTTTCTTTTTTTCCCCGAGATTCTTTCTTTTTTTCCCCTGAGATCCCGACAGCAGCAGCAGCAGCAGCAGCAGCAGCAGCAGTAGTAGTAGTAGTAGTAGTAGTAGTAGCTTCACGTTTGCTTGGGAGCTGCTTAAAATCATTTTAGCATATTCTTCAGTGCACTCAAGCTTTCCGTTAGCTTCCGTTACCCAAAATCCGCCCGACAACCAGCTTTCCGTTAGCTGAGTAACGAGCTTTCGGTTAGCATCATTTCCGTTAGCTTCCGTTACCCAGAAAACGCCCAACTGCCTCGTCGAGCGCTCCTCCTCTGACTGATCAGGGCTCTGCAACTCGGACGGTATTCCCTATTGATGTCATATGCTCTCTCTCTCTCTCTCTCTCTCTCTCTCTCTCTCTCTCTCTCTCTCTCTCAACGTAGGCACACGCTCCTGCCAGTTTGAATGAGTGGTTGATTCATTTGATTGATTACTGATTGATTAAGGGAACTGATAGTTTTATTAAATCAATTAATTGATTGGTTGGTTGGTGGATTGATTGGTTGATTGATTGATTGGTTGATTGATTGATTGATTGATTGGTTGATTGGTTGATTGATTGGTTGGTTGAATGACTAATCAAGACAGAAAGAAAATTGATTGATTGATTGATTTTTTTTTCGGGGGGAGTGGATCTCTGTTTAATTGGAGCTGTCTATTGCCCAAGGCTGACACCGAAGTTGGCGTGTTTTTTTTTTTTTTTTTGCTTTTTGAAGTGGGCTGGGAAGTTAAAAAAAAAAAACAACAACTTGTCGCGGGTGGACTGTCCTTCCAAGGATGATGACTTCTCCCAAAACCACCTCCTCCGTTAAAAAAAAAAAAAAAACTCCCGTGGTGTTTGGGGGGGGGCGCGAAGCCGTTGGGAAAATAGGGCGTGATGTTTAAAAAAAGGGGGGGGGGGGGGGGGGGGGGGGGGGGGGGGGGGGGTGGACAAGAATGCAATTCCCTGCCACCTTTTTTTTTCTTCTTCTTTTCTATACCATGTTCTTGGGTAATTGCTACTAGCAGATGAAGGAGGCTTATTCCTTCCCCCCCCCCCCCCCCCCGACCCAAAAAAAAAGGAGGCTTCCTTGGCGAGGACCACCAGTACCTGCCTTCTGACCAGAGAGAAAGAGATGCAGACAATCGGTTGCTAGCTTTTGCTAAATAGACAAAAAGTCTGGCTCCACTGCCCGACATTCTAAATGCATCTGGACCTGGTAATGGTCCCAATACATTGAAAAGGTGCGATCAGTCCTAATGTATTTTGTCCATGCAACAGTCCAGATGGTGTCTAATGCTAATGTATCTGGTCTATTTAACTGGTCAGTTACGTGTCGAATGCTGAGTATTGGAGCGAGGCCCTAAAAAGTCTTGGAAATTGTTCTAGGCCTAAGGGGGCCCACAAAAAAAAACACCAGCAGGTTTCCCAGCCATTGTTTTTGGTTGTCGGCCCACAAAAACCTAAGGGGGGCCCTCAAAGCCCACTGGCTGGGAAGGTCTCCCAGCCATTTTCCTCCGACCCTACTTTCGCCGCATGGCCTACTGGGCCGAGGTCCCACTGGCAAAAAAGGGATAGGATCGAGATCCTGAATCTGGACGTGTTTTCAGCAGAAATGCAGAAAAGCAGTTAATCTCGATATCCTGCACAACTCCATAAACTCGTCCAGATTCAGGCATTCGATCCGATCCTCTTTGCTAGTGGGACCACGCACGCCCCTGGAGCTATTCAGAAAAGGTACAAACGAACGAGAGGCCTGTTGGCCCCTGCTTTTCCTTTTCTTGATTTGGTGGATATAACTGGCCGTGGGATCTACCACGGCGAGTAGGGGTGAAGGTTGCACTTATTACTCACCACGGTCTAGTTACAGCAGAAAAGGTAAAAAATGGTAAAAAAAAAAAAAAAAAAAAAAAAAGTAAAAAAAGGGTTGTCAGTGAGATCTACGCCCGGGAAGCTGAATACTCTCCAGAAAGCCCTTTTGTGGAGGGGCCACTGACTTCTTCCCCCGAATGCAACGTCGGGGTCATTATAGCTGTATTTGGGTTATCTTTCAGTCTAAATACAGCTATAATGACCGTGCGTTTGTATTCGGGGGGGAAAGAAGGTAAGTAGTAGGTAGGACGAAGAAGGTAAGTAGTAGGAAGGACCCTGTGGAGGGGCCACGACCGTCTTCACCCGAATAGAGAACGCCCGGTCATTATCGCTGCATCTGGACCGCAAGTTGTGCCAAATATTAGACCGGGCGTTCTATTCGGGTGAAGAAGGTAGTAGTAGGCACCCTCCACAAAAATGGCTTTCTGGAGAGTATTCAGCTTCACGGCTGACGGCTGTGGCAGATGGGGAAAAAAGACTCTCAACAAAAAAAAAAAAAAAAAAAAACTCTCGATAAGTCATCATTCAGTTAAAAAAGAAAAAAGAAAAGCCTCGACGCAGTCTGACAGGGTTTTTTTTTTTTTTTTTTTTTTGGTACAATGCAAGGGGGCCCTTAGGGCTTCATTATAAAAGAAACAAATGAGGCCGGGAAATCCCTCAAAGGATCCAACCCGGGGCTAGGTCCCACTTGCACGAATTAAGAGATACTGACCGTAGATAGCAAAGATCAACGGCCGAAATCTCCTAATTTGCGCAACTGGGACCTTGCTCCCGGGGGCCAAGTCCCACTAGCAGCGTTGAGTATCCTCAACGCCTGAATCTGGACGCTTTTACGGAGATGTGCAGAAATGGTGTTGAGTTTCCTGAACTGAAACGTCCAGATTCGGGCGTTGAGGTAGCTCAACACTGCGGGTGGGACTTGGGCCCGGAAGAACATAGTCTGAAAA